AAATTTTATTAAAAGGAAATTTAAAATCATTAAGTTTTGAAAAAATCTAAATGTGTATTTTTATCAAATTATAATTTTTAAAAATTTTGATATAAATTCACTTAAAAAATTAATTTTCAATTTTTTCTTCCAATAAAATTTTAAACTTATGAAAGAGAATAATAATTTTAAAGTATGTTTTTTAAACTTTACCAACAGTTTCTTTCGTATATTTTGTCCATTCATTTATTCAAAAACTAGACTTTATAAACTATTGAGCAAAACTGATCACACCTAAAAGGATAGTGGAACACATTTTACTGAAGTAGACTAGGTTGTTGAAAGATCAGAAACCAGTTATCACTTCAGAGAATGATGAAATTAATAATGTCAAGCCTAGCAGCAAAATTAATCCTTTCATGTTACTCGAAACAAGTTTTAAGTAGAAGTCTTTCAACAATCTGAAAAGGCCGGTAAAGCCAGATCATTTACAAAGTCTAAGGAACCATGCTGAACCTTGCTGACCCTACATAACAAATAAAATTGAACATTAGTTCCAGTATGCAAGCAAATATAAAAGGACATGCTAACCAAACCATCAGATGAGGGAAGGCGCGTGGTGCATGGATACCAGGCTAGTGATGTAGGTTCTTCTGGTTGGGTCAGTCTGGTAGATCTTGCAACTGTAAAAGAGGATGTTCTTATCTTGCTTCGTGATTGTTGTGATAATGATGAGATTTCCTAATTGAGGTTGAGTTGCTTCTACAGTGACGATGGTTTGAGTTTGTGGTGACTGCATTACAGGAAGAGGAGGAAGAAAGGGATTGGAAATGTCTTTTCCTTCACGGTTTTACCATAATCATGGTATTGTCATGAATCTAAGAATCTAGGTGAACAAGACATCTTGCTCCGGTGCATACAATAAAATAATTTCTTTGATGTATTTCAGCCTGAAATTTTGATCTTTTCATTGGCATCCCCGTGTCAACTAGATTACTTATGGAACCACGGAGTCCATCATGGTTATAGATGCAAGTTGAGAACAATATTAATGAGTATCAATCACGCATGAGTAGGTAGATATTGAGCCTTAAGTAACTTGTCCTAATATATTGACAACAACTCCATAAGTTTGAAAAACCAAATCATTTGAATCTCATTAGTTTGTTCTTCAATATCAATCTCAACATGGAGCAATTAGAGCATATATACTTGGTCCTATAGCCATATTGCTTCTTCCCTTGAGATCCAAGACTCCAACTCTTTCTTTTAATAAGATTGTTGATCTTAGTATTTTTCTTTTTGGGTATTTGCAAAAGAGATAGCTATTTTGCAATTTACCATACATATACTGCGTATTTTATAACTATTGGTAAAGAGAACTATCCTATTCTTCTCTCATCAATGGTTATAAACACAGACTGCACATCACTTTCTATTCTACAGAAAGCATAACAGACACTTACAGATGTTTTTATTTCCTGCAGAAGAAGACACTGAGGAGACAGAATGCAAATGGCATCTCAAAGCAAAGTTTCAGCATTTGCAAGGAGAGCCACAGCAAGAGCAGCAGCGATACACTGCATACAGAGTTGGCTGTCGTGATGGAGGTGGGATGCAGAAAGCCATAATAGCTAGAGCTATGATTATTGCCATGACAATTCTGGTGAGATCTAAACCTCCATCATCAGATTCTGCGCAACAGAACTTCCCCATTTGCTCAACACTGCTGCCTCAAGTCTTCCTCTGAGCTTCGGTTGTTAGATTGAAGAAGTATAAAATATACAAGCTGAAGCTTGGCATTAATAAAGACACAACCTCATACAAGAGCAAAAACACAATTTTAGAAACTTTTTGCACCTTAGCTTACATGACTTCTACAACAGGTACAATTATGTATGAAAAATGAACTAGCTTGTCGCATCAAGCTGTTCACCACGGACTAAATTAATAATTTTGTAAATGAGATTTACAAGAAGCATGTAGATTTCAACTCATACAATGGCT